CCCCATCCGCACCGTCTCGTGCCCTCGCCGTGCTCTCGCCGCCCCGCTGTTCATTCATTCATTCCTCCGCTCCGTTCATTCATGCCTCCGCTCTGCGTAGCCATCCGGGGATGGCTGTCTGTCTTGCAGGCAGATCTGTCCGTTGGTCTGCTTGCATTTTCTTCCCCATCCCTCCTACCATCCCGTTTGCGTGCTGGTATTTCCATGGGGAGCCTCTGAGCTCTGCCCACCGTGTACCGTGTGATGAGTTTTACTCGGGGCTCAGCCCAAGGGCAGTGCGTTATGAAGCGGCTCTTGTCGAGCCTCCCGCCCAGGGCTGCGAGGGGACAGAGGTGTTATTTCACCAAACAAACTCCCCGTGAACGATGTGCATTAGCAATGAGGGGTCGCAGCCAGGAAAATATTACCTTTCCCTTTGAGTGCTGACTGCGGAGGAAATTCTCACATTTACAGCTCCAGCGAGTCCGGCGCTCATGGAAAGAGGGGGTGGCTTTGATTTCTCTCCTCTTGTCGGTTTGATAACTTTGCAGCCCCCCCACGGAGCATTGAGTCCCCCTGGGAACCGGCCACCGGTGGAGGCTACGCAGGCTTGCAGCTCCCTCCTTGGGAGCCTGTTTTAATTTGATTTTCCCGGAGGCCTGGCATGCGGCGGTGCGTGTGTGCGTGCTGCCCCGTGTGTGTCTGTGTGTAGGTTAATAAAAAATAAACAAACAGCACTTTTTCCTCCAGTGCACTCTGGGAGGGATGCGGCGGGGATGCCGAATGAAAGCGTGTGCTGTGGGCTGCGCCGGGGAGGGCTGGAGGGACATTCCTGGCATTGCTGAGCTCTTCGCGCGACGCGCGGGCCCTGGCCCAAATCGGCGTAAGGAGCCGTTAGCATCGGGGGCCTGGGGAGGCCCGCTCCCGCGCAGTGTTTACTCGCAGAGCTTAAATTAATACTGTCTGCTGACATCAGGCTTTTTTTTTTTCCACGGTTTCCCAAGGAAAAGAGCCGTGTGCGATCGCAGCCTCTGCGTACCTGTGTGCCTCTCTTCCCTGCTTGAACCCCTGTCTAAGTTCAGCCAGATTGCACAGAGGTCCTAAATGCCTCAAAATAATTATTTCACTTAACTTTTCACATATATTAAAAAAGAGTGGTTGATCGGTGGGTGAAGCTGCCAACGCTTCCCGTTGAGAGAAAAGCTTGCGTGTGTCTGCGTGCGTGCACAACCGTAATGTTAGACACTAGAGAATCCTCATGGGAGGGATATTTTAATAGCATCCAAACCAGGGGATGAATGGAACTGAGAGCCGTGAGACACGGAGCTGCAGGAAAGCCGGCCCCATCCGTCCTGCCGTGTGTGGGGTGAAGCGTTTCCTCCCGTCTCTGGGTTGCACCATGTTATGGCCCATCACTTGTGATGGTTGTGGTGGGGATCAGCCTGCAGAGGATCTGTCAGCTGATATGTCTCCATCGACCCTTTTTGGCAGCTATTTTAGGAATCGGTGATTCTGGATGTTGAATTCTGGATGATGATGAGTCTTCTGCTCAGCACAGGAGACCTTGTGATGTCCATTTATGTGGGCAGAAGCTGGTTACTAGAGAAGGCAAAGAGTAGGGTGTTGGGGCTGTGTAGAAATCTCTGCTCGCTCTCTTTTGTAGGTTTTCTCCAAAATCTTCAGTCACGAGGCATTGGAGAGCTATCTCCCCAAGATCCAGCTGGTGATCAAAGACACTCTTCGGGCCTGGAGCAGCAACCCTGAGTCCATCAACGTCTACCACGAGACCCAGAAGCTCACCTTCCGTATGGCCATCCGTGTCCTGCTGGGCTTCCGCATCCCCGATGAGGAACTCAGCCGCCTCTTTGAGGTCTACCAGCAGTTTGTGGAGAACGTCTTCTCCTTGCCCATGGATCTGCCCTTCAGCGGCTACAGGAGGGTAAGAGATTTGGGCTGATTCTTCTACCAGCTGGTAACACCAGTCTGGAATTAATGGTGCGGTCGCTAATCCCCACCTCTACAGGCTGTCGGTGGGATGTCTTCTCACGCTCTGAGACCTCTAGAATCGAGTCCATTTTGGGCTACAAAGTCCTGTTTTGGTGGAGTGGAGAGGAAGAGTCATTCATAGTTTTTTTTGAGTGCTAGGGACTCAGCAGTTCAATGCAAGGGAGAATACAGTCAGGACTTGCCCAGATTTAGTGTGTAATTTTTCCTCGCTTGTAACTGGCAGTTTTGCTGTATTTTTTTGTTTGTGGGACACTTCTCCTGTTAATTCCCTCCTGTCCCCAGGGTGAAACAGGTCAGTAGACCTTCTAATTCCAAGAACTATTCTAGTTTTTTGATGAATGATGCAAAACGAAAATAGAGCAAAAAACATTGACCAAAAAAGTGGGGTTTTAAAATTTATTCTCGCGATTATCACCGCAAATTTTGTTGTTGTTGTTTGACCACGTGAATGAGCACAACCATTTGCAGCCCCGAAGCATTTGCAGCAGCAGGTTAGCCCCGTGCAGCTGCACTCGGATAGGAATTGCTTTACTGAGACCAGGTGGTAAAATTGCTCGGGAAGCCCATTACGCTCCCGGGAAGAGGATCCTTTCGGATGAATTGACTTTCCTTTGAGAGGCGATTTTCCCAGGGACTGCCATACAACCCAGGGTGAGCCGGAGCCCTGTGAACTGGTGCGGTACTGGGGCTCCCACACCAGACCTATCATTTGCACATAGGTGCTGATTACTCTTGCCTGTAATCTTGCCCACTCGGGGTTTGCTCCTCCTGCCCAGCATCTTTATACTTCTCTTTGAGCATCTGCAATTGCAGTTGTATTACTTAGACGTGTTGTCCTGGGCACGTCTCCAGCTCCTGGGGATGCTGGGCTGGGGATGGTGGTGCCGGCATTGTGTCCTGCGTGATCTGATGGCTTCCTGGTCTGCAGGGCATCCGAGCACGCGAGACGCTGCAGAAGGGGCTGGAGAAAGCCATCCAGGAGAAACTGCAGAACACGCAGGGTAAGGACTACGCCGATGCGCTGGACATCCTGATAGAGAGCGGCAAGGAGCACGGCAAGGAGCTAACCATGCAGGAGCTGAAGGTAAAGACCTTTCCCATGGCTGTCTTGTCCTTGCTGTGCTCAGGGCAGGGGCTCCCCGAAGAGCAAAGCATGAGCTGCTGGAAGGAGGCTTTTTTGGGGCAGACCTGAGATGATCAGTGGGAGCTGGGGGGCCACAGTGTGTTGTTGGAGCTGCAGGTGAATCCTGGACTGGTGGATTATGGTGCCAACAAGCCAGTTGCTTTCGTACGGCCATATTTATTTGCAGATCACGCTCAGACCTTTCTAAAAAGCATTTCCAGGAAATACCAAAAGATGATACAAGTTTGCTGAAGCTTTCAGCCCTGACGAGCTTCATCCCTTGACCCATCCAGTTTTATGGTGCCTCCTTTGCAGGGCGTATGAGCTCTCGGCAGGTTGTTATATGCAGCAGGGTCATGGCATAACTTGTCCTTCATGTGCTATCAAGAGCTGTCCCCAGGGTTATTTCTCCTGCCTGTCTGGTCCTCAGCATCC